CTGTATATAATTGTTTGTGTAATCTTGTGATTTATTTGTGGATGTATCCTGTAACACAAATTAATTTTTACTTCGCAGAAACAAAAGACTCTAATCGATTCGACTTGAAAAAGTAACGTCCAAGGAAGAAAAGCAACGAGCCGTAAAGAAAGCCAGATCCTGCATCTAAAATAAAGGAACGCAAACCACAAAATGCGGCGAAGGGTATTGGGTGTTTATCAAACTATGCGGATATACAGAGGGCAATCATTGGACATTTGGTGTTTTAGAAAGTATATAAAGCACCATTGACTGAGAGAAAAGTATCTTTCGCTAAGTACTTCGAAGTAGCGTCTTCTTCATCTGTAGAGCTCGTCCCTCACTACACTGTACTGTAGAGAGACTGTTGGAAACCAAGAAACAAAGATTTCAATGGTAACTTTTTGCTTTAATTTTCTTATTCTAAATTACTATACACATAGATTACAAGGTATAACTTGTTTGTTAATTTAAGAAATCTGTAAAGAAAACCTCTGGAAATATGTTTAAGCATATCATATCGACTGCACAGTTTCCTTTGTTAAAAACTATTCAAGGTTTGCTTTTTGGTTGTAGCTCTTGACTTTATATAAAAAATCTTTCACTAAGTAACAGTAAAAGACACTGTAGTTTTTTATCATTACCTCCGTCAACGAAGTTGGCAGGAGGTTATGTTTTTTATTTTGTGTTAAGTTGCTTACGTTTTATTGCTTTGTATTATCTTGCAAGGCTTACCATCTTAAAATTAGCATACTGTCACTATATGTTATACAAACATAAGACTTATTTACTGTAATACGAATGAGAAAAATTTACCCGACGATTTTTAAGAGGGGAAAACCTTTAATTTTAAAGAACTTAAAATTAAAGTCATTAGAAGTCGGAAAAGCTCATTCTCCCCATCTAGGAGTAAAAATTTTCTAGGGGAACCCCTGGACAATGAGAATGAAAAAATTTACCTGACCGTTTTAAAGAGGGGAAAAACTTTGGATTTTGAAGAACTTGTCGTTGAATAATTCTGACCCCAACCCCCTACATATGAAAAATTTACAGATGATAAACCTACTATAGTAAAATAGCAAAGAGTTAGAAGATATTATTCTGGGATACGGACATAGAGTAGATAATACTGTATATAATTGTTTGTGTAATCTTGTGATTTATTTGTGGATGTATCCTGTAACGCAAAATAATTTTTACTTCGCAGAAACAATACTCTAATCGATTCGACTTGAAAAAGTAACGTCCAAGGAAGAAAAGCAACGAGCCGTAAAGAAAGCCAGATCCTGCATCTAAAATAAAGAAACGCAAACCACAAAATGTGGCAAAGGGTATTGGGTGTTTATCAAACTATGCAGATATATAGAGGGCAATCATTGGACATTTGGTGTTTTAGAAAGTATATAAAGCACCATTGACTGAGAGAAAAGTATCTTTCGCAAAGTACTTCGAAGTAGCGTCTTCTTCATCTGTAGAGCTCGTCCCTCACTACACTGTACTGTAGTGAGACTGTTGGAAACCAAGAAACAAAGATTTCAAAGGTAACTTTTTGCTTTAATTTTCTTATTCTAAATTACTATACACATAGATTACAAGGTATAACTTGTTTGTTAATTTAAGAAATTTGTAAAGAAAACTTCTGAAAATATGTTTCAAGCATATCATATTGACTTTACATAAAAAAGCTTTCACTAAGTAACAGTAAAAGACACTGTAGTTTCTTATCATTACCTCCGCCAACGAAGTTGGCAGGAGGTTATGTTTTTGCCTGTTTTTTATTTTGTGTTAAGTTGCTTACGTTTTATTGCTTTGTATTATCTTGCAAGGCTTACCATCTTAAAATTAGCATACTGTCACTATATGTCATACACACATAAGACTTATTTACTGTAATACGAATGAGAAAAATTTACACAACGATTTTTAAGAGGGGAAAACCTTTAATTTTAAAGAACTTAAAATTAAAGTCATTAGAGGTCGGAAAAGCTCATTCTCGCCATCTAGGAGTAAACATTTTCTAGGGGAACCCCTGGACAATGAGAATGAAAAAATTTACCTGACCGTTTTAAAGAGGGGAAAAACCTTGGATTTTGAAGAACTTGTTGTTGAATAATTCTGACCCCAACCCCCTACATATGAACCCAGATTTATATTCCCATTAATTTTACATGTTTCCCCCTCCCAACTTTGAAAAACATTCCACAAACCAATGAACACAATTTGAATTTATTTGGGCAATCATAATTTAGACTTTTAACTAGTAATATGAGATCGGCTCGAACTAAAATGTTTAGATAATTTTTTTTTCCTGATGTCTCTTTCATGATTACAGCATTACCATTCACATTTATTTTGTTATGATATCAGGTATTCTTTAATTGATAAATTCTGATAATTGGCAGTAAAATATTAAATAGTTCTTACTTGTTTTTTGATCAGATCAGATCAAACTAGCTGCATCAATACACTTTTTTTTAAAAATTTTATAAGAACACATTTTATAAGAACATTGAGGTTGAAACTGGCCAAAAATTAAGAACACAATAAGAACAAATTGAGGCTGAGGTAAAATGTCAAAAGGGGTCCAGAGAACTCAGACAATTGAGGGATTGAAAGGTTAATTAATTGGTTTTAGAGTCTCATATTCTGTAAAATTCACATTGATTTTTTTTTTAAATTTAAGGCAGAGGCCGTATTATCTGTAAATACAGTTTAACTAAATAAAAACCAAAATCAGTTGGTGGCACTTTTTGACTAACGATATGTTTTCATTTACGTGTTCATCTAATCGATGGGACTTCATCGGTTGTAGTGTAGTGTATTACAATAAATAAATCAATTGACTGATTATTAATTGATTGAATTGGCAACTGGAAAAATTTACAGATGATAAACCTACTATAGAAAAATAGCAAAGAGTTAGGAGATATTATTCTGGGATACGGACATAGAGTAGATAATTCTGTATATAATTGTTTGTGTAATCTTGTGATTTATTTGTGGATGTATCCTGTAACACAAATTAATTTTTACTTCGCAGAAACAAAAGACTCTAATCGATTCGACTTGAAAAAGTAACGTCCAAGGAAGAAAAGCAACGAGCCGTAAAGAAAGCCAGATCCTGCATCTAAAATAAAGAAACGCAAACCACAAAATGCGGCAAAGGGTATTGGGTGTTTATCAAACTATGCTGATATACAGAGGGCAATCATTGGACCTTTGGTGTTTTAGAAAGTATATAAAGCACCATTGACTGAGAGAAAAGTATCTTTCGCTAAGTACTTCGAAGTAGCGTCTTCTTCATCTGTAGAGCTCGTCCCTCACTACACTGTACTGTAGAGAGACTGTTGGAAACCAAGAAACAAAGATTTCAAAGGTAACTTTTTGCTTTAATTTTTGTTATTCTAAATTACTATACACATAGATTACAAGGTATAACTTGTTTGTTAATTTAAGAAATCTGTAAAGAAAACTTCTGAAAATATGTTTAAGCACAGAGATCCCAAGTTTGAAAACCAAAAATAGGGAGTTTTTTTTCATGAAGCTATCGCCTCCTGTAGCGACGCGCTGTGACGCCTTACAACGCGCTGTGCAACATGAAAATATTACACAAAATGACGAAAACAAACAATTTTTATCAATTTGTTTACTTTTATTTAACAATTTTACATTTGTTTACACATTGCATTTGGCCTAAAATATAAATTTATAAATATTATTATTTATTTAGCATTTAGCTAGTAAAGCGTTCTTGGCAGCAGTCAACAAGGCTTTGCTTGGTTCATTGGCATGTTAGAGGCTACGGCTGATTTATTACATCTCATCAAAGAACATAAAATTCTAGCAAGGTAACTGCAACTTGCAAGATTCACACGTTTTACTGAAAAATTAAAAAATATATATATATTTTAATTTAGTTAGTAAATCATACTACATGTTTTAAGTCGGCATTTATATATGTCTAGCCTATAATACCTGGTACATAATGCCATGAAAAAAACATTAAATCCTGCCTCGCTAGGCTCCATCTATACTTGCGTAACTAGGCCTAATACCGCAGAGTCACAACCACCACTACACACACGCCCACCCAACACAACACACACAGAGTACATACCCTGCAGTGTTGCAGATAGAGCCAGCCTAGGCCATCTTCGCGGCGAAAACTTGGGGCCCCATCCATTCCCAAGTGATTTCTGATTTCGTTAATTTGTTGAAATTTATTTACTCAAACTGACAGCCATCTCATTGAATGAGGTCGGCACTGGATGCAAAAGATCGTAACATGGAGGATAAACACCACGGATCTAGGCCTGCCTTGCCCTGGAGTTGTTATTTTGATAAACAACTTAAATAACAACTCCCTGGCCTTGTTTATGACATTTTATGGCTGAGCGAGCGCCATAGTATATTGGCTTAAGATAAGAAATTTTCGGGATATTTAAAAAAATCGGGAGATATTAATAAAAATCGGGAGGGTGGGAGACGGCCTCAAAAATCGGGAGAACCCGCGAATTTTCGGGAGACTTGGGATCTCTGTAAGCATATCATATCGACTGCAGTTTCCTTTGTTAAAAAGCTATTCAAGGTTTGCTTTTTGGTTGTAGTTCTTGACTTTATATAAAAAAAGCTTTCACTAAGTAACAGTAAAAGACACTGTAGTTTCTTATCATTACCTCCGCCAATGAAGTTGGCAGGAGGTTATGTTTTGCCTGTTTTTTATTTTGTGTTAATTGAGCCTCGCAAAATAAAGCAACGTGTATACCCGTCTACAACGCGTGGTTGGGGATTATAATCTCTTCGCGTTGCCGACGAGTGGTTCAAGATACTGATCAAAAATGTTAGACGATTCCATTTCGCGAATTAGGGTTCGTTTTCCGACGTTTTTGTTCTACTTGTTTGCGTCGGTTTATCTCGTGATTTTGATGTACTGTAATTTATCGATAAGTCTCTTTTCTATGTTTTGTCATAAGTTTCATTCATTATTATGAATTAATTTTAATACTATATCCTGTCATTTGTTATTGAGCTATTCTGTAAAATTTAAAACCGAAATGTCGAATACCAAGACTCGAAACCCACTGAAATTTCCTATAAACTTTTATACTGTATTATAATCAGGCCAAACTCATGTTTTTGCCATGAATATTGACAGGATAAACGCAATTTAATGCCAGTATATTGCTTTTTCTAGAACTATTCATAGGAACATTCCCACACTCTGCTGCTATGGAAATACAGACTGAATCAAAGTGTACGTGTCATTGATATTGCTGCCGGCCGAGTTATGCATAGCTCAAACCCTTTGTACGCCGCCAAGTGTTATAACCAGGCCAAACTCATGTTGTTGCCATGAGCATGGAGGAATAAATTCGTAGTGACGGAATAAATTCGTAGTGACAGGATAAATGCAATTTAATGCCAGTACCTGCTTTTTCTAGAACTATTTATAGGAACAGTCCCACGGTTCTGCTGCTATGGAAATTGAATATTAAGGGTCATTGATCTTGCTGCGGGCCGAGTTATGCATAGCCGTACCCTTTGTACGGCGCCCAGTGATAACGACTCGACGTTACCATGGAAAAGCATAGAATAAACTAAGAAAATATCAGTCTCTGAATTAAATCTTGTATTTATTATTTCAATTATATTTTATATTTGTTATATATATTTGAAAATGGATTTGGTACGATACAAATAAATTAATTACAATAAAGACAACAAGGAAGTGACAAACAGAAATTAAAAATCAAACAAGAACAGCTCATTCAATAGAACATAAATTAAAGTTAATTAGCGTAAACAGTTTATTACTTGAACATATGTGATCATGATCTAATGTGTGTGTGTACAACAGTTGCTTGTATATGTTTGTATGATAATCTGATCTAAACACAATACTTTTATTTAGTGGTGTTTTTTTTTTCATTTTTTTTTCATTTTGGAAGCTGGACAACAATAATTTAGGCCAAAAAATGGCTACCGTATCCGAAAACGCCATTCCTCTATACCCAGGCCCAATGTCTGTTTTCAAAATGACCTACAGAGAATGAATGAAAATAAATGGGGAAAAAATAATGCCACCCTAGCTTAGCCTACTGCACTAAACTCTGATATTCATCGTACATGTTGAGCATTTATTGGCGGTCACTGTACTTTATTATGAATAGGACTACAAATAGTAGGCCTATTGTACACTTATTTTTTATATAGGCCTACCATAATATATTTTAAATGCAAGGTTATTCCCAACTATTATATTGGAACAAATTATAGACAATAAATCAATGGATAGCAAAAGCAATTTAAAGAATGAAATAATGATAATATGTTAAGAGATCGTAATTCAGTAAATATCCCATAGCCCATTGAGTACAGGACCAGAGTCAAGCGTCTAACTTTTACTTTGATAGAACACAGAGTATGTCAAAACCACAGGCCCTAAACTTCCAGCCGGCAATGCAGTACACGGCAAGGAAGACGTTCCAAGTCCACTTGATACGCTGTGGCGTATCAACAATTGAAAACTACTTTTATACATTACCAGTGCGTTTTATAAATGAAATTAAAATCCCTGTAGTAAAATAACAGTCATTTGGTACATTCAAGCGTTTAAAAACGATTTAATGATTATACATTTTAAATTTAATTATTTTGAAAAATTATTATAAAATTAATAACCCATATGGAATGGTAGAGTCCATGGTTAATCAACGACGCAACAAAACATGTGCTTCGCT